TTCCCTAACTATACTATACTAACATATTTAAAAACTGAAATTTGAACTTAGATATCAATACAAATATGAAAAAGTACAAATAGAATATGAGTTGTTTATTGAGTTTTGATAACTAATTTACTTTAAATCATGAAAGAAAACCGGAAAGGTTGTCATGGAGAAAACAAGAACGTACCGTAGCGACATCTATTTTAATTTCGGGAACTAATGATTTTTTTTAATACATACTTCCTCATTGAATTAACTCAAAATTCTTTGTGTAGGTACTATACCTATTCCACCTTAATATCTTCACTAGTTCTTTTATTTGGGAAAATATCTTGATATCATAATTTTAAATTATAGTATTTTCATGTAAAGAATTTTGTTTTACTTGCCGTACCGGATACGCGCAGGATTAGTTTTATTTCCTGTTTATACCGATAAGGAGCACTAATATTATATTCTCCTTTTCATTTTTTGTAATATGAGAAACGAATAATAGTAGGTACGTAAGACTGCCATATCACAGTGGAAGGTGGTGCACATTAAAACATATAAAAATGAATCACCAAAATGTATGAACGCGCATAACTTCTCATCCGAACGACTGCACCAAATTGGTGATTCTTTTTTATGTGTTTCCCATTTTCAGGACAAGGTTTGCATATTAGAAAATTATAAAAAATATAAATAGTTTATCAGAATTAATTTTTATAATCTAATACACGCTTTGTGTCACCACAATACTGCCAATAATCTAATACAAAAAGATTTGATTTAATTGACGGTACGTACCAAAACACTTTGCAGATCTTTGACTAAAACTTAAATAAAATATGGCGGTATAAAGTTCGCCGGGTCAGCTAGTTTAATAATAATATACTTTATTCCATTCAAAATGATACATATTATTCAGAAACTTATTATTTAGTTTTAGAGATAGAGTAAACAAATGGCCTTATTGCTAAACAGCAATCTCTTCTAGGTGATCTTTGTCAAAAATGGATAATTTATAAAGAAAGTAAGTAAGACAGAACTCGGAACAATATTGAGAAGGATAAATAAAAAGTATAATAGGATAAATAATAAATTACCCTATTAATTGAGACTTTCTAACATTCTGTAGAAAGGAATTCCACAGACCCACAGCGTGCACAGCAAAAGAATACGAATTAAAATCTGTAGAGTGACGAGAAATCTCGAGAGAGATTTTTGAAGAGGATGTGTGAGAGATTCCGCAACGTACTTTGTAATGAAGAGAAGCGGAAATATGGGGCTTGTGTTAGATATCATTATTAGATATGCCAAGAAAATATGTATACTTGTGAATTACTTTCATTTTAGCTCTCTAACATATTTTGCCGTTATTAAAAAAGCAAGTCGTCACATCCAGAGCAGTAAAGTGAATTATTAATATAGTTATAATTATAGATTAATTACGCGGCGTATCGCAATTTTTCTCATCTCTAAACGACAGTTGTATTTTGTGTAGGTATAAAACTTATCAGGTACAAAACTTAAACTTGCAAAATTTAGGTATAAAACGATTCGACGTTTTGTTCTAGGTGAGGTATCTTCATACATTTTTGTTTTGCGCTGGACAGTTTTATCGATAATGTGCGCAGGCACTTACACTCTACTATAAAATAGATATTTTAAGGTTTACTTAATAAGAGGTCTAAACGGAACGGATTGACTTCGGCTCTTTTCTATCGTATTCTCAAGCTATTTTATTCTCAAGTAGGTATATATATTAGTTTGAGATAAATGAGGAAGTATTTCCCGAAATCAAACTAGTTGTCGCTACAGTACGTGCTTGATTTCTCCATGACAACTCTTCCGGTTTTCTTTCATGTTTAAAAGAAAACGAAAGCACTAAAAAAGCACCTCCACAGTCGGCTGTCCCAGTTCAAAACCTAGTAACTGTTTTGGACTAAATTTTACAGGAGAACAAAAAACTCTTTTTAGGGTAGCTCTTTTAAGCTATTAAACACCTGTTGAGAAATTATTATTTACAAGTAGTTTGAAACTGTTAATTTGATATATAAATTATTTTTCTAAGTTTCATTCTACAAATTTTATGAGCTAAAATATTTTTAACAATAAAACGTCTCAGTAAAAATTGACTACCAAAACCATTTCAAACCTAGTAAGTTCTCTTACAAAATTTTGATCTGATTTAACATATAAGCTAAAAATCAGCTTATCCAGATCAAAAGCTAGTAAATTCAAATTTATATAGCCATTTACACATGTATTTGTGTTTCATTAGGCGGCCTTCATTTGTTTTTTTCTTCTATTTGTCCTATTTACGCCATCCAGTATCAAAAATGGAGAAATTGAAATATCGTGTTATTTAAGAGTACGAGTTCCACCATGGTACCAGTGCTGCGGAAACGGCTCAAAGGGTTAATGATGTATATGGCGGTTATGTCGCAAAAGAAAACACAGTACGTTTTTGGTTCCAACGTTTTTGTTCTGGAAATTTCGAGCCTCATGGACGGCCGGAGACCCAAGTTTATAATTTGAAGGGTATTGTGAAAGCGGATCCATCGAAAACCACGTCCGAGTTAGCTGCAGGCTGCGGTGTTAGTGATAAAACTGTTTTAATCCACTTGAAGCAAATTGGACAAATTAAAAAGCTTAAAAGCTCACGACTTGAGAGAAGCAAACCGGTAAACGCGCTTCGACTGCTGCGTTACATTATTTAACTGGCACAATAATGAAGGGTTTTTAAATCGAATCATTACCTGTGATGAAAAGTCGATTCTCTACGATAATCGGAAGCGCTCATCGCAATGTTTGGACCTTGGCATGCCAGCCATGAGTAGCTCGGTGGCGTAGTGGATAAGTGCCGCGGCCCGCGATCGTAGTCGTTAAGCAACTTTCGCAAGGGTCGGTCATGGGATGGGTGACCAAAAAATTATTATCTCGAGCTACTCCGTGCTTCGGAAGGCACGTTAAGCCGTTGGTCCCGGCTGCATTTGCAGTCGTTAATACCCTCCAATCCGCATTGGGCCAGCGTGGAGGGTCATGGCCCATCCTCCTTAACCATCCATAAGGAAGGCCTGAGCCCCTGCAGTGGGGACGTAAAAGGGCTGGTGGTGTGTGTGATGCCAGCCAAATCCTGCCCCAAACGAAAATTGACCCCAAAAAAGTTACTTGTAAGCGTTCGGTGGACTAGTGCCGGTGTCGTTCATTAGAGTTTTCTCAAATCTGGCCAGACGATTACGGCAGACGTCTATTGTCAACAAGTGCAAACCATGCTGGAAAAACTAGCTGTTAAACAACCGAGGCTGGTCAACCGCTCTACGCCATTGCTAGTTCACGATAACGCTAGACCACACGCTGCACAACAGACGGCTACCAAATTAGAAGAGCTTCAATTGGAATGTCTAAGACATCCACCGTACGCCCCGGACCTTGCTCCAAAGATTACTATTTTTTTCGAAATTTTGATAACTTCTTGCAAGGGAAAAAAATAAACTCCGGTGGGGCAGTGCAAATCGCCTTCAAAGATTTTATTGATTCCCGTCCGAATGGTTTTTTTAGTAAGGGGATCAATGAACTACCTATGAGATGGGAAAAGTACATAGATAACAATGGTTTATACTTTGATTAAATAAATATAGTATATTAAAAAATATTCGACTTTTTGTTGACGCCATACCAAACACCAATTTCATATGTAAGGACCTAATAAATTGTAATGGGGGCAAAACATTATATTTAAAGTTATTAAACGGTGATTTTGATTTTATCTACATGGACTTTTCGACACTGACTGAGCTTTCGACTACCGACTTTAAGTTGTGAACATCAACACATAAAGTTAATTAAGAGATTGCTCATAATAATTCGGTTCTATATTTCTCTCAGTGTAATTTATATATGCATATTTGTCCTGTTTTATTGAATAAATAAAATAAATTTAAGGCTGCTTTAGAATGAATTTTTAATTTCCGCTAATATAGCTCCAAATAATTAATGTAATTTGAAGTTACACTGGTTTTAAGTTAAATACTCAAAGTGGGCATAAGTCAGACGACATAAGTTTGGGAACCTCTGATCTAGTCTATGGTTCCATTGCTAATTTAACTTTTTCTTGCTGTTCTCTTTGTTTAGTCGAAATATCTTCTGGCACTTCAGTACCTTTATGTGTATTTCTCTTAATTTCTACTTCATAAAATGAACAGCGCACTTATTGTCTTTTAGCATATTAAATGAAATATGAAGTCTTTTAATTGTTTGTCGATAAACTTCTACACTACAGCGAAAATCTTTACATTTACTACTACTTTAAACTTAGTTGCAAAACTTAGTAACTCAATATTTTAATGTCTTACGAAAACCACAAAATATTGTTTCTATACATTTATTCACTTCATAACCCAGTAGCTAGATTGGACCATTTCAAAAACCTAGTATGTGCTAACACATACTAGAGTTTTGAAATAGTTAAAGATACATACTAGGTTTTATAATGGTTAAAACCTAACTTTTCATAAATTTAGAAGCACTTACTAGGTTTAGGGTACCCTATAACTTATGATAGAAGTGAATTTAGATATAGGGCATTTTGGCATTTTGTGGGGACTTATTGGAAAACACTTTTAACAAAAAAACACAATTTCTACTTTTTGTAAACTTACTAGGTTTTGAAATGGGACAGCCGCACTAGATGGCGACTCTAGCAAAAGTTGATTTTTGCAGAAAACGAATAGATCAAAGATAGTAATTTCCGGTCCTTTGAAAATTTCGTACTTTTGAATACAGCGGACATCGCACTTGGACTTACGTCCAAACAAAAGTAAACTTTTTAAGGTACTGCGTGCTCAAAGATCAAATAATTAAGGCAAGTTTTAGTTAAGTAGCACAAAGCTGTATTAGTTAATAAAGCACATTATTTTGGCCATCACAAAATAATGTGCTCTAACTGATACAGCGGTTCTTTTTCCTTTCGAATACCAGAGACTACGCCCCCGTAGAGTTTATAGAGATGAACTCATATTTTTTTTGAAGTCGTGGCTGACCGGGCCTCTTTGGATGACGTTTTCAACTTAGTCATTTTACCACCAAAAGGCATGTCAAAGTAGTCAAATGAAGCGAAATATCGTCAAAATATGAGCTAAAAAAACTTTTCTCTTTCAGGATATAATTTATTACTATTTACACATACATTTTAGGAGAAAAGCCGCTTTATATTAGTACATTTTATATAAAATGCAACAACTTAATTTCGAATAAGGCCAATGTGTGGTGGAAATCAACTATACAATATATTGCTTAGCACATTATTGTTAGTATCCATATAAATAACTTTATACCATTAAATACAATGTAAGCTCTATTATAGCGAAAACAACAAGATGATTATAATTAAATGCAGTTTACATCAAAATATAATGACCAAAGTGATGAAAAAATGACTTAACAGAGTAAGTACATCAATCAAGTAGGTAATACATAAAATTCCCAGGTAATTATTTGTCTTCACAGGTAGATAATAACTTTATATTGGAAGCTTCCTGATTTGGCTATCATGGTTATACCAAGCAAAGATTTTTTAAATCATAAGTATATTTTTACCATGGAGCAATTGTATAAGTTTCCCAAAAACATTAATAATATATTGTCTGTTTATTATCTATGCTTGTGCGAAACTTAAATAAATTTGAACTAGCAAAAAAATGGTGTTAAATTTCTAGAAATTAGGAAAAGACAAATTATAAAGCAAAATTCTATTGCTATTGAAACAATGTGATAAAAATATAAGATAAAATGGAACAAAAATTTAAGACATTTGTCTACGACTGTAGGCGCGCGTATATTACAATATATCTCTCGTCTCGATGCAGTGTAGCAAAAGTAGCAAACGCTACGGGCCCCGCGCAAATGGGAGCCTCGCTATGGTTTAAAACCAATAAATTAATTTTTCAAGTCAGTGTTAAAAATCCAAATAAAATAAGCCACGCTTCTGACTAAACTTCTATTTTTAAGTATAAACATAAACTGAAAAATAAAACTCAAGTCATAGATTAATAGTCGAATTCTAGAGCAAGGTCCCAAGCGCACTCTTATCGCTTTATTATAGAATAGTATGAACATTAAATTACTAAAGAGTGCAAATAGATGTGATTAGGCATGTCCATAATTATGCTATAGATCAGTTAATCATAATCTATTATAAAGAAATACTTCTATGTACACAGAAGTCTTTGATTAAAGATTGGCGATATGAAAGATTGACACATTGGTTGGGGATCTTTCGCACATTATCGATTAAAGAACGCATTATGCCGCACAAACGCTTGCATCGGTATTCTAAAAACAAAAAAGTATATTTTATAAAGACGATATCTTTATATGTTTTATAAAAAAAACTATCGAATAGCTTACAAAGAATCGATTAAAATCTCCAATCGTTTCGAGACCTTAATTTGTTGTTACTACTCGTATGAATTAACATGACATCTCACGGCATATTCTATTTCTCCGAAAACGAAAATTCATCAATTTTCGAAATACTAATAAAACTCCAAAGAAACATAATTTCCGATAATTTATATTGGAACGGAGGAAGATCAAGAACCATTCGAAATTTTCCAAATTTTCGTTCGACGACAAATAGATCATGTTAATTCATACTAGTAGTAATTAAGGTCAATACTTATTACGGTAATTTGATATTCTGTGACTACACTGATATGCTTTTGTGGGTACGCCATAACGGTCGGTGCTATTGAAATTTGACTATAAACAAGGGCATATTTACGACAATGTGAAAATAAATAAAAAATAACAAATGCTAATCATGAAGTCGTCTTTGGAAGCTATTTAGATTCTGATTTATAAAAACGAAGTTGAAAATGACTTATTTACAAGTATATTAGTAATTAAATATTGTTTATGACTTATAACCATATACTAGTAACACATTTTTATAATAATTTTGAATTTTCTAAATCATACAATGGGACTATGATATTGTCTATAAATAAATTGATGGTGGCTTTAATTATAACATAATGTCATTCATGTAGAAAAGAATTTTTTTTTACTTAAAAATTCTAAAATTGAGACATTACAATAAATACAATTTCTAAACATAACCAGCGTTCAAGCATTGTGTTCTCATGATAAAAAGTAAGGCTCCAAGCTGAGAAACATTAAGCTTTTGTATTCTACTTCCCTTAGAAATTCCTTTTATTAACAACAATAAATCTTTTGCTGATCTCTATATCTCTACATATAACATAATTTTACGAGAAAATTCTATGACTAGTTTTTATGAAAATAATTTATATAGACTCAATATTTTAATGTGAACACTCGACAATCTATTTGCAATAGATTTAACATTTTACAATCACATAATTACAACCTAGTTTACCTACTCATCCGATGACAGACTAATCTTGTTGGCACATTCCTGACACAAATCTATATGTAAACTATCCAATATAAAATAAAGTGATTTTATTAATAATTTAAACTACAATCTAAGCTTTAAATACTGTAGGAATTAAGAGGGTTAACTGCTTCTTTAAGATTTACTTTTGGACACTGGTAAAATTAGTTAAGCTTTGTATTAAGTTGTTTCACTGATAATATTCTAAAACAAAATTTCATGATATTGCAACCCCGAAAATTAGATACCATTTTATATTGGTCACTATGCCCATTTTTTGCCTAGTTTAATTAGAAAATGTGTGATCAGCTTGAAGCCATAATAAATGTTATGTACAAGTATCAAGGACTGCTGCAGTCAAGTAGCTGCCTGGTCACTATCATCTTCTTCATCCTCCTCTTGTGCCATCAATTGCCGAGCAAGTTGCAGAGCCTGAAATAACAAATGAATCTTTAAATCCAACAAAAATAAATAGCTTCACATAAAGACTAACTTTTTCGTAAAATAGTTCAATAAAATGAGGAAGTATTTAAAAAAAAAACATTAGTTCCCGAAATCAAAACAAAAATTAGTCCTCGTCCCTATTATAGACCTATAAGTATAATATGTAAGATGTATACAGTTTTTTCGAAGATACTACTTGAAAGATTAACAAAGTTTCTAGAGGTACGACAACCTAGAGAACAAGCTGGTTTTCATTGTGACTACTCCACCATCAACCATATACATTTTGTGAAACAATTTATGGAGTAATATAATGAATAGGGAAAATCATACTACATTGCTTTTGTTGTCAATAGCAAAGCCTTTGATTCCCTGCTACATGTCTTTATCTATAAAACACTATACAAACATGGCATTAAACTAAATACATAAGAATCATATACCAGATATACCACCAAAGTACAACTAAAGTGCAACTAGAAAGGGTTGGCGCAGAGTTCCAAAAGGTGTAAAACAAGGTGATCCTACGTCCCCAAAACTTTTCTCCGCCGTTCTAGAGGGAATATTTAGAAACCTAGACTGGCTGGGAGAAAACATAAACAGTAGCAAGCTGCACCGTCTACGGTCCGTCACGTAAAGTATAAAAAAAATTTAAACACATTTTTTTTGTAATCATAAAATTATGACGTCACATTATGGTATGTTTTCTACTAAACTGTGACGTAGCAAGCACCCACTCCTCAACTTGAATGCCTGTTATCTAAGCTATTTATTGTTAAATTGAAGTAAAAAAACACATATCTAATATTTTTCTATTATCTGACTGACGGACTTAATAAAATTGCATTTTTTTTACACAGTTTGATAAAAATGTGACCAACAGGATATTAATTCCAGTTACTAAATATTATTTAATATCAAGGAGTATAGTAAATCTTTATTAATACTGAAATTAAAAAATTCACAAACAAAATGGCTTAGCTATTTACTTTTCAAATCAGAGATAGTTTTTCTATGAATTACTCTTGACTACATCTGGTGACACTATTGAGTGGAAAAAAGAGTACAATTGCAGTATTTTGTTTTATTGTCTGTTTCATAAATTTAAGATTATGAACTGTTATTCTTAATGCTTGTTGAAGCTTATTTATTACTTTTTTATCCATATGTAGTGTCACTTACTATGGAATCATCCAGCATAAACTAAAATATGCATATTAGTTTTCTAACAAATATCACAGAGTACATATTGCAGCTGTCTAGGGATTTTTTTATAGTTATTTAAAATTATAGGTAACTTATAGAGTTTTAGTGATAATATTAAGCTGATAATCAATTTTACTATGTGTTGTCCAGCACTCTTTATTCAGACTGGTCTTAGTCTAATGCTACAACACTAAACAGAATAATGTATGATTACTCATTGTTGTGCAAAATATCAACAGTGGCAGTTGTCATATCAAGAGATGAAAATGGTTGAAAAATTATAAATTGATGTATGAATCAAATATTCTATTTAGTAGGTAATAAATTAGTAAAATACTCAAGAGTAAACAAACAATTTCGCTAACTATTATAATATAATATATTTACAAAGTAAACATATACTAAATCTCTATTCTGTCAAACGGTTACAAAAATTAATACTGTTTTTAATCAGACTATTGGTTATTGTGTTTTGATTGTTGAACTAATCAACTGTATATAGTTGTTACCTGAAATTCATTGTAATGGATCTTTCGTTTCTTCTCAAATTCCAATCGATGTTTTCGAACCTCCTCTGGTTCCTCCATGTCTTCATCACTATCACACGTATCTAAGCATTTAGGAGGCTTGTTCATACTTGCTGCTAACTTTGCCGCTAAAATATTAGCATCTAATTCATCACCCGGCTCTAAGTCGCCATCAACAGCCTCAGAGTAAGGAGTCTTTGGCTCATCTACTTTCATATGCCCATAATCTTTGTTTGGCGGGTGGAATGTCTCCATTATATTCATTTCGTCGAATCTTTGCTCCTTTGGCCTTTTGCTCGTGGAAGGCGTGCCTTCATGCCCATCAATACTTCTTGATGTCTTCAGAATGCCTTTTGAAGGTTTCTTTTGAAGATTTTGCGCCATTTTGCTTTTTACATCCACATGGCACGATTTTGAAAAATAAGATTTCACACAATTCAGAAAGATAGAAAGCAACTTATTTTTTCTACAAACGACAAAAAGGAAAAAATAGCTACCATTTGAATAAAATGACAGCTGACTAACTTCATTCACCGCCAAACTGACACTGACAGTGACAATAGACCATAATTTGTGCCGCCTCTACACAATAGGTAACATTGTGTTGAAAGTTGTCAGAGTTGTTATATCATCAGATTCTGGTACATACACTAGCTATATAACTATAAACATTGAGGTTGGACACGGTAAACTTAGAATTTTAGCGTGTCAAACCTAATCCTTAATTAGAACAATAAATGGCGACTTGTACTAGGGCTGGCCGTTCCTAAACTGTACTGATATGGATATCAAAGTCAACGTATTTATTATTAACGTATTAATGCCACATTATATACTATGCGTTTATCTAAGGTCTACCATGGCGCCGTAAATACCATAATTTTATTGTTACATATTTTACAATTTGTTTTTATAATCTTTATTTAGAGGCCTTAGTCGCTGAGCGATTATGTTAGCCTATTGTTTACAAATATAAAATTACTTCCTATACTTCATTAATTGTCCTATTATCTTGTACATTTTAATTGCGACCTTAGATAATGGTTGCGACAGTATAATGTTTCATAAACCTACATCTCCAAAGTTCCCTTTTACATCTAATTCTAGTGATTCGCGCTCAGATTTATTGCATACACATTCCACTAACGCGTGATAAGTATCTTCCCTACTACCACATATAGTACAATTGGGGGAGGTCCACTATGTTCATTATATGTCCAAATTTAAGTCAAGCCAAAGTTCATAATTAAACGTAATCTCATACTTGTTACTAGCATGGATCTATGAGGAGGTATTTAAAAAATGAAAATTAGTTGAAATCATACTAGATGTCACTTGTGATATTTGGATTTTGTTTACGATATTCATTCAGATTTTGTTTCTGACGTAATAAAAGTTAATTGAGTATTTAATATTAATAAATATGACACCGTTTTGTGTTGTTTATAATATCTAACTTTCAAATTAATTGTAATATATTTAATCGTAAGTTTAAGTTGTTTATTATGTTACGTGTAAGGGAACGATGTTTGGTTGATACGTCAACATTAGTGATGAGCCAACTTATTGGTTGCTTGTAACTTTCATCCGAATTCAGGTTTGGAATGAAGAACAAAAAGCGGAGCGCAGAATTCAATGTGTCATGATGCATCCACAAAACGAATAATAATAATAATTTTTTATTTGCCTTAAGCAAGGTATAAAGGTGTTAAAATTTGACAAAATCCTCATGTTGCGCCATTTCCAAATAGCATGCAAGACAGTATAATGGAATCTAATGCAATCACAATGATTACAATAACAATACAATACAATACAATACAAAACTCTTTATTGTTCACATTAGACAATTAATTACATAATTTATAGTAAATTAACACTATTATGAAACAATTGGCGGCCTTATCGCTTAAAGCGATTTCTTCCAGGCAACCAGTGGATGGAGAGAGATAACATGAATAATGAAGATGGGGGTGTAAATGTTAACAATATATCATTGAGGCACACTAATGACTTATTTAAAGTAACTAAAAAAAAAAAAAAAAATTTTATTGCTAAATACACATACAAATGTACAATAAATAAATACGAGTCAAAAAATATATTCGTTAACAACAAATACATACACACATATATAAATATATACATACACCTATTAATATCAAAACAGGAAAAAGCGATAATACGGCAGCAGTAATTATATTATTGTGTGAGATAGTATTCTTTAACATATTTTTTAAATATTTGTAAGGATTGCGCTCGCCTGATTGAAAGTGGAAGTGAATTCCATAGACGAACAGCTTGTACGGTAAAAGAAGAATCAAAAAATGAAGTGTGATGAGATGGAATCGCAAGACTCAGGTTCTCCGATGATCGCAAAGAATAGGAATTTGAGCAATGCAGAAAACTGAAACAATCTTTTAGATAGCAAGGGTAACTAGTATTGAACAATATGTTATAGAGAAGGGATAATATATGAGAATTCCGGCGAAGACGTATAGGAAGCCACTTGAGTTCAGAACGAAAATGAGAAACATGGTCATATTTGCGCAAACCAAATATGAAACGGACACAAAAGTTTTGTAAACGCTCAAGTTTATTAAGCTGGTCCTCCGAAAGATCAAGATAGCAGGCGTCGGCGTAATCGAGGATAGGAAGCAGCAAAGATTGCGCTAGCGCAGCTTTAGTGGCAGTGGGTAAGAAGTTTCGAAGTCTTTTCAATGAAGCGGCTGATGCATATAATTTGCGGCTGACAGCTTGCAGTTGTGCATCCCAATTCAAATGACTGTCCATAACTATCCCAAGGTTCCTTACCGTTCGACTAAAAGGAATATCAATGCCATCAAAAACCACTTTCGGTAGTGCATGTAGATCAATTTTAGAAATCATTCTGGAGCTACCTGTAATCATGACTTGAGTTTTAGCGGGATTAACACCCAAACCAAAATCTTTACTCCATTCCGCAATGCGTTGAAGGTTGTGGTTAGTTTTTACTACCGCCTGATCTAGTTCAGTCAGTGGTGCTTCGCAGTAAATCTGAAGATCATCTGCATATAGGTGATAGGAACAAGAAAGATTATGAGAAATGGAATTAATAAAGATTGCAAACAAAAAGGGAGATAAAACGCCGCCTTGGGGAACGCCAGCTTTCGTGTCACACCATGATGAGAAATTCTCGTCGAGGCGAACACGCTGCCTACGCCCATACAGGTAACTGCGAAACCAATCAATTACCGTTGGAGATATGTTAAGTAAGTGCAGCAAAGCAAGAAGTATATCGAAATCAACCGTATTAAAAGCGTTACTGAAATCCAGTAATGTTAACACAGTCAGGTGACCATTTTCCATCGCTAGACGAATATCATCAGTGATTTTTACTAGAGTCGTAGTAGTGCTGTGACCGGGCCGGAAACCAGATTGCAAAGGATTTAACAGGTTATGCCGAGAAATAAACTTACTAAATTGTTGATGAACAAGACGTTCTAAGACTTTGGATAGGAAGGGGAGAACAGATATCGGACGAAATTCATTAATAGATTTGGGATTACATACTTTAGGTAAAGGAATTATCTGAGCATCTTTCCTATTATTATGTTTATTATTATTATGTTGAAATTATATGTCATAGTTAAAAAAAAGTCAATATAATATTCTAATTCCGTTTGTTAAAAAATTCGCTAATACTATAAAAATTATTACAGTTGAGCCAGGCATATAATTTTCTTTTAAACACCCCAGCCGTTAAAGACTTCAGTTCATTTGGAATTTTATAATATACTCTAACGCACATAGCCAAACAACTTCTTCCATACTTATCCGACTTTCGAATAACATTTAGGTCTATCAGGGTCTCGACGCTGTCTAAATTTAAGAGTGTACTTAACTTTTTTGAATAAATGATTGTATTTCCTTACAAAGCTATTCGTTTCTAGAATAAATTAATATAAATATCACAATAAATTCAGTCTAGGCTGTTACATAGTACTTGTGAAAGTCGAAAACTTTGCCAATGGTTCGCAAAACTAAGGCGGGAGATCTCGTACTGACCAGAATCAGCAAGGGCTGCTTTTTTAATTTCAACTATACTATATTTGAGGAAACGTAACGACCTAACGCATACGACACCACCGCAGAGATTTTTAAGAAAGCATGATAACTCTAGGTACTTAGTAAATAAAATAATTCAATAAATCTGTGTTCTAGAGTAGGTTGTGTAGGAAGTCAATCTATTATTAACAAAATTATTGTAAGAAAAAAAGCACATACCCACCGTACAAATTAACTTAACACACGTCGACGTCCACCGTCGACATGCAAGATCAGTAGCAATAGTATAATTATTGTACATATCTTTATGATTTTGAAATTTAAAGTTATAACCTTGCTGTACGTTTAGAACAGACGTTTCTTGTTAATTGCTGATTGTTTTTAAGTTACTTTAATTATGAATATAAGATTTAATAACCGATCATCGTTTTTTAGTCTTAATTTCGAAAGCACAAGTTATTTGCACGTTACACTTTGCACAAACGTCATTTTAGCCAGAAGTCATGTTATTTTGTACGAATACCTAGTATTTTTGATACGTATCGGGTAAGTATTTAGAAAATAAATGAATTTTTTATTATAATTATCGCTTTTATTAATAAACTCTATTCATTCATTAATTTAGTTTTGTTATTGTAAGTTCAACAAAAAACTAAAAGTAACTTATCTAGTTGTTATTGTATTAAAAAAACTATTTGGCGTAATATTATTCTATACCGTAGCTAAATGCCAAATTATATCACAGCATCAATTCAATTGATTTCCATAAATTAAAAAAAAAACTCGTGTTCACTTCCGTTATGTTAGTTTCCATTTTCCTCTATACAAATAAAAAATAAATTTATTCAAAGATTACTTTGTATTAATCGAGTTGCGTTTGCATAACTCGAACTAATTAAATTTCAACTCGATATTAATCCGAGTTATCAGATCCATAACAACCCTGACAATTCTTTTCTCTTTGGTTTAACGTCATGAATTATGCTGCCACTAGTGACATAATTTTTGATAGTAATTTCTTTATTTTTTTTAAAACTTCCTCGTTCATTTTACCTTCGTTCAGTTTCATTTTGTTTATGAATACTCCCTCATCTAGTCGCCATTATTAGTCGTGACTTCGTGATGTGTTGGATTTTGGTCTATTGCAAAGAATCAATCTTGTAAAATTATTCCAATTGGTCCTCTCAGATCGATTCAGGAAAAAATCGATGACGTAAAGATAGATATAAATGTCCATTAAGGTTTAATGATGACTTTAAGCTCTAATGAATGTCAAATTTGTTTGAGTAATGTCGCTTTATGCAACTAGCTACTTTCTCCTTAAACCGTAGTCTCCTAGTATCGTGGTATTTGACACTTTTATGAAAACTATTTTAATTTGTTATTTGATGCATTATAAACACACTTCCAATATATTTTAGGGGAATCTGTTATATTTTCGATGAAAATAATTGTTAAAGTTTATTAAATAGCCAAAACCGCGCAAAAAACGCTACATGTAATGGCGCTGATCACGTGGTATTTGTGACATCATAAGCCTGTAAATATGTCAAGGCGATATTACCTATCTATCAACTATTTATTTTCGAAGTAGACAAATAGTATTACAGAAGAGAAATTGAAGTTATATTTTATGTTTTCTATTAAGTTTACTCTGGTTTAATATATTAAAATGAGCTATAATATAAATTGCATGTATAAATACAAATTTTGCGTATCTCTAATAACACAGTTTTGACATGACAGCTTCCTGTTTACGTTTGACGTCACACGCCGGTAAACAGAACTCGTTATTGATTGCGACAACAAATTACAAAGCATTTTCGTCGTTCAATAGATTCCTAAAAATACTACATTTTTTACGTTATTTTACACATATTTTGTCTGCAGATTTTATGAAATAAACTTTACTAGATTATTATCAAATATGATGACCACAATATGCAACTTATTTTGAGTAGTGCCAAATACCCTGTGTTTTAACAAGTTTTTGTTAAATATCCGAATTGTGAATTCCTGTATCAATTGGCTGGTTCATATAATACTTGTTCTTACTTGGTGAGTACGATTAAGCATCGAATGAGATAAACGAGTTCATGCATGTTTGTTTTATCCCTTTCGGCGCATGTTGCTTATGGAATCTTATACTGGGAGGAACAAAATGACCGACACAGCCGAAAGTTTCAAGTTAGGTTACATGCAAACGTTCATTTTATTTGACAAATATTTCAAAAAGGTGTAAAAATGGAGTAAAAAATTTAAATTTCTAAGTGTTGACAGCCCTATAACGCGCATGCGCAATATCGATTGTGTGCAGATTACAACTAACCGCGAAATACATTAATTTAATTTAATTATTTACCGATATCTTAATGATAGTCGATGCTGAAAATGTCCACTTCCTCTCTGAAGACTGAGCTAAGCACGCTCTTTTCAATGCCGCTACATGCACGCGCAAAACACATCACATTTCACACAAAACTAAACACAATCTTCACTTAACTAAACTTAACACTGAAGACGAACACTCTAGTATCTTATTAATAAAAATTCAATTAAAAATGCACTAGAACAAAACAAAAATCGACAAAAAAGACGCTTCGCAGCGGTGCGTCGGCGGCGATGCGCAACAACACTCCAGCGCAAAAGGTCGGCGGCGACTGATCGGCCGGAAAATACCGACAGAATAATGAAGCCTGAAGGGCTTTGATATCGAGGGACGAACTCGGTTCACATTTTTTTTTATTCATCTTTTGATATCACGAATTTTCTAATGTTCTTTTTAAATGCTATTTTAATAACAAATTCCTCAATGTTTTTAAAATAAAGTTCATTTGTGTTAATGATGAATCGCTGGAAGATTTGTGAGTTTATCGAGTTTAATTAACGATCCCGTTGTTAAAGGAGTATTACCCCATTCAAACAATTTTTTTGGAGAACTGCTCTTTTAAAATAACGTAGGTTAATGTTAGACTGATCTCTCTACAATAATTTTGGAAATTTTACACTCGGTTTCTTAATTGAGAATTTAAAGTTTAAACGTCTCAAACTAACATCACTTAGTTTTCGTTTCCGAACTTAGTTTTTTGATGATTTTTGATGATCAAATCAGAAACCGGCTGTTAGTCTGTAAATCGATTTAAGCATTTTGACTGCCTTATTTATTGATTGTCTGGTAGAATTTGCATGAAAGCAGTCTTATAAATCACAAACTAGTTTATTTCGTTTTTCTTTTTCTTGGTACGTCCCAAAAACAGCTGACTCAGGGTTGAAAACACTCATTTCATTTTCAGTTTAAAGACAAATAGTACTCTCCAGGAACCTCGGAAGTGTCGGTCGTTCTGTTCCACCGAGTATAATCAACGTAATATTTATTTGATTTATTTTGCGGTTTCGCGCGTAATAGATAAACAGTACCTATTTAAGTTCAACACTTACTTCGGTATTTCACAAAACAAAACAATGTCGGAAGTAAAAAAGAAGAGACGGCAGTATTGTGCGGAATATATTAAATTCGGATTCATTGAAAATCCCACAAACCCATCGTCGCCTTTATGCCTTCTTTGTCTAAAAACATTTTCGAATGAAACAATGAAGCCTTTAAAACTCCAAGATTATTTGAATAAAATAAAATCATTTGAAATTTGAATAAACGAGTGTAGCAAAACTATTTTCGGTGGCTGCTAAGCAAGACGACGACGGACTTCGAGCTTTGTACAATATCTCTGTTAATTGCTCACAAAGGCAAACCACATAACATCGGAGAAGAGTTAATTTTGCCAGCAATAAAGGAAGTAATAACTACTGTGCTTCTAATACCGGCTCCAGAGATTTTCCCAAAAATTCCATTGAGTAATCACGAATTGATGAAATGGCTAATAACATTGAACGATCATTGTGCGATTACCTGAGAACAAGTCAATTCTCAATTCAACTCGATGATTCCACTTTACTTGTTATTTTGTCTACTATCCACAGTAGACAAAATAAGTTTGGAAGCCCCTGGATTAGAGTTTTGCATTATTTTTTTTTGTAATTTATATATGTTTTTATCAATTTATTTGTTGGTTGATGCTGTGGATCATAATGCTTGATGAAACATATTGATATTGTAGACAAACGTCAGCGGTTTATTTTAATTTTGTGATTTTGATATTAAATGAAAAAAATACCTTCTCTTTAGGTGTAAAGACCACCAACGTGACATTGGCGGAAATGTGTGATTGTATCATGATTGTATTAATAAAAAAAAAGAAGATAAAATTATGAAATTCATGAGTTTAAGTTTGGCTTAATTAAAAAGTTCTTTTTTTTTTCTTATATAGCGACACTATTACATAAATCTAATTAGAAAATAAATAAATAAATTTTCGTGTCACATAAACCACCTTGAAAGATGGTCGAAGAATCCACTATAAATTCCAACAAATCCAAGGTAGTTTTGCTACTTTAAGTCAAAAGAAATATTTAGTATCTAATCTGACGTGAAATATAACCAATTTATTTATTTTAAGGTCAAAACTACTCGACCTAAAGCAGTGTACTTGTGGACCGAGGCAGATGTTCAGAAATGGCTTCGTCGTCATTGTAGTGATTATTATAATCTTTACTGGGAAAGATTTCATGAGGTAGGTACATTGTAATAATACCAGGAACCGTATTCGTACACAGTACTGTACAGTAATGAGAACCTAAGTTACAGGAAATTATTATGTCTACTTTTATTCATAGAAATATATTGGGAGGTTATTATAAGATATTTTGTCCATTGCGAAGCCCTCTAAAACCCTTGATATGACATAGATGTAGATGTTTTTTTTAAAACACTGAAATAAAGACTTAAAATATTAATTTCAGCATGATATAACTGGAAGAGCATTAATTAGAATCAATGACAACACTTTGCTGAGAATGGGCATCACAAACCGGGAGCATAGAGATGCCATATGGCGGGAGATTTTGAAATTGATACTGAAGACTGATATCATGGAAATTAAGGATTTAGAACGGCGACATAACTATTTTAATGATGATTTGTGACATCAACTATCTGATGAAAATAAGCAAGCTGATCCATGCAATTTGAGATTCAAATTATTTTTGGTACCAACTCTTGACAAAAGAAGTACAATTGTACATTTGCTAGGTGCCTTATTAATAATATGGACAGTAAATAGAACATTAAATAAGAAGTAAATAGTTTTTACAAGAAGCTAGACCAGCATGGTTATTTATTACATCAGAATGTTGTTTTGCGTTCCAGTATATATGTAGGGTGAAATATCAGTGTCTTATTGCTTAGAAGCAGTACAATTATTGTGCGTTAAAAAGTCTTAATGAGAAACATGTCAGTATGAAAACTTATGTGACTGTATAATGCTTAAATTATAGATTTAAGCATTATATCTAATATATATTGGATATATTTAAATCTCACTATGATATGAATAAAAATTTATACTACATATTATATTGGAATAGTGATATTAACTGTAAGTTAAATTGTAGACTTAATGAAGTTGCTCACACAATATTGCTCATAACAATCAACATTGTATTTACTCATAAAATAGTTTTGAAATCAAGTTTTTAAATTTTTTCTTCTGAATACTGAAATAGAACTACTAACTACAGTTACTGAGTTAGGTGGGTGACAGTTCTTTGTTAGTCTTTTTAAAATAAATGTCAGTATAGCAGTGTAAATGTTAAATTCACAATAATAATAAAGCATTGGCCATTAAAAATACTCTACTCGCACAAAAATGATTTAAACCATTGGATTATTACTGAACTATAAGACTTATTACAATATAGTGTTGATTGGCTTGTGCCATTAAAACTGTTAGGTTTAAGTTTAGATACTGAATTATATTTGTATGAGTATTCGTTTTATGGCTGTTGGCTACATATTACCTGTTCTAATTGCAAGTACTAGATAATTTGTTAGTACATGTGTAGGTTATTATATAGGTATGCAATAATTAATCATGTTAACAAATTTGGTATACAATTTTTGACAATAAAAAATGTTTATATTGGATATAGTTTTTGTAATTTAATTTTAACAAACACCAAAGTTTTGTTGGGTTAGCGACATATGCTAAGTTTGATTACCAATAGTCACACCCAAGGGCACACTCGTATATTTAGTCGAGAGTAGTAAATAGTGGAAATTTGAATGTAGTAAGAACTGTTAATGGCTGATAATAATAGAGACCATACAAAATCTCAAACTTGATTGACAAAGCGTAAACAAATTGGAGTTTTTGTTGTGGGGTTGACAGTTTTTAAGCAACATTCTGGGTTTTTCAAGTAGAGGGTACTTTAAAGGTAATGTATTTTAAAATTTACGCTTCGCTATTGCAATAAGCCTTGGAATGTAATAACAGAATTGAATAGAATTGAAAATAAATTTTCAATTCTTATTCTTAATAAAACAAATAAGAAAGAAATATAATAAAAAAAAGTTTTTAAAAACGTGCTTTTATTTGTGCCTACTAAAACGTAAATATTAAAGAAAATTTTGAATATAAACTATTATAATCGCTTTTGATTTTTTGATCAGAAGCTCCAAAACCATTCTTATGTAAATAAACCTTATTAATAAATGTTGAATTATCGTATAAAATGAGAAGAAACTTTTTCCCCAACCAATTAGTATTAGGTAGGTATCCTGAGACACAAAGGTGTTAATTGTCTTATTTCAAAATCAGTCTTAATCCCTTGCAGAGGTATAGCGATTTATGTAACTTTTAATGTAGCAATCGCTTTTGGAACGAATGATAGTTTTCATCATAGATAATACATAATACTGGTTTTCATCTCAGACCAAATAAAAAGTATAGACGGAGTTTTGCCTAATAGAAAAGTGAAGCCGACAAAACTACGCCTTGGCGTATTCGTACACAGTTTCACGCACACATACATGACGAAACTACGCCTTCCTTATCATCAGCACAAAGTACTTTAGTCCAAATCAAAGAGTAATGTAAATATAGACAGTGTGCGGAACGTTTCATTATAAAAAACAAATCAAAATTTTCTTACTAACTGCCGAATTGTGTAGTAGAAGGTTGTAAAAACCAATCCTAAAAAAATAAAGAGCAGGATGGATCACATTTCACACATAAGTATTGGAGAAAACTTACATTTTCAGTAATTTAAAAATAAAATTTAAGTAATTGCTTGGAACACAAAGCCTCAGCCAAATATTACCATCGTTAAACGTTATTATTTACCCCGAAATTAAGTAACTTTAATTTTATAACGCGTTATTTCTAACAAAACACAAATTACGTTATGTATTTTTTTCTTGTTGTATGGAAATGATATTTAATTAATTTTGCGTTGAAAATGCTACATAGAGATCCAGATCACAGATATCGAAGTGTTAGAAAAAGGAAGTAAAAAATAAAAAAAACGGGTTTAATTTTTTACTTCTTTATTTTTACTAAACGGGTTTGCATTAATTTTTAGATTTCCACTTTTCCGTAGTGGATTTCAGTGATTCGTAATAGTCGAAATAAACCTTCATGGAATCCAACTTCGCACAGCGTAGTTTGTTCGACTCATTTTAAGAGCGATGATATGTATTTTACTATAAAAGGGTTATGTCGAATAAAGCAAAACTCATATCCAAACTTTTCAAACTTTCTATATATTTAAATTTTAGTTAACATAGTGGAAATTTTCAGACTTAACTTAAAAATTTATTAAATAGTCTCTCTAATGTATGGCCTCCAATAATAATTACCTACTCTTAACCCTACAAGGCCCCCAGTACCATATGTGGGACAACCATTTATATCGTCCCTACAGCGATGAAAAACGTGCAGCGACATCTATTATCAATCCGAACACAACCGTTGGATATCTAGCAACAAAATAATACAAAGCATTGCGCATATATGTTGCCACTGCTTCCTGTTTAGATAGTTTGGCAAAAAATTTGAGTAAAAGTTTTACGTTAACAACTCTCGTGATTTCACCAATTTCTAAAAAATAGTAATCGCATAGTTCTGAGTCCAAAAAAAATAAGTGAGAAATAAGGGAGTGTATATTATGCAGAGGTAAGTTATTTTTTTATATTACTGTAGTAATAGTATTAGAAATCGTCATTTTATCTATGTGCCAGATACGGTACATTGAGCTTTCGTGCTCGTTTTACTATTTCGTACTTACGCCAAATAATTACTATTATTTTATTGTCTTTATAGATTATGTCGCGAAGAGGATTGTGTAGTGACGAAATTGAAGATTTCTTGAATATCCCTTCTGGGAGTGAACATGAGGAGGATTTTCTGACGCTGGAAGTTACAGTTATTCCAAAAGCTGATATCGAAATCACTTAGCGACAAGGCAACTTCATTGCCGCCGCAAAGACTATCTTTGTCTCCTGCCAACGAGGACGTTCATGTTGTGAAGGCCTGAAATATTAGACCTGCAGCCTAGCACATCAGGGACAACTACAAGTACCATAACACAATTACGGGCATTTAGGGGATCATCAACTAAAACACTTGGTTCTACGTCTGTGGCTATAAGAAATAAAAGGAGATTCTTTTGGAGAAAAATAAATTTTCATTCACCTCATTTTCCGTTTACTGAAGACACAAGTTTACATTCACCAATTATACACTTTGAAACACCCCTTCGATATTTTTTGTGGTTGAGACTATTATATCATCTTCTTGATATTTCTTTGATCAATAGCTGGTTATTGTACGAAAGAGTTGGGAACAGAATAATATGCGAGTTCCACTAAAACAAAAGAAGTTCAAATTTGAGGTAGGCAAAAGTTTATGTATGTTTGGGCTTCTGCGTCTGAAGAAATTGAGAAGAAAAGAAAGAAGCCCAATACTGCAATCCTACCTCCTCGTGACGTCAGACGTGAAAGGTTTGAGCTTTTCCGGGTCTGGGGTGGAAAAAGGCAAAGATATAAATAGCCTGGTTGCAAAGGAAGACTTCATTTCTTGTGAGAATTTGTCACGCAGAACTTTGCCTGAATAAAGATAATTATTGTGTCTGAAACTTTCATAAGTAGCTTTTTTAAACATAATTGTTTCTTATTTCATTTTGTTTCAGACTTTGTAATGTACATCTTTATTATGTCAATAATTATAAAATAAAAAAAGCTCGTGATAATTAATATAAGATACTGTTTCCTAATAACTACGTTTATTGTAGTTCAGTACGAAATAGTATAGTTAAGGCTCAGTGTACCATATATGGAACTGAAAGAAAAAAATTATTTTCTTGTAAAATATTGGATTATTATTTTTTTATATATTTTTTCCTAACTACTAACAGCTAATTACATCATATATATTTTTTCCACAACCAAAAAAAAAATTGAGCCTTGTAGGGTTAAAGATTTTACAATATCTATGCTGATATTGACAAACGAATTTACATTATATTATTAAATAGCAAAGCGTTAACGTTAACTCTATAACGTTAAGTTATTGGGATGTTTTTAATGACTATGGTCACACTGGCACGCACACTACATTTGCTAAAAATCGGCTTCACTTTGTTATTCAGCGAACTCCATCTTTACTTTTTATTTGGTCTGAGGACCAAAACGCAAAATCATCGGCCATCTTTCATTCATTTCGGTGTCATTTTTAAATGTAGAAATTATTTAATTATTATCTATCTAATTTAATTACCTAACATTGGCAGAATTGTGCGATATGCTCAGCTAAGCCATTAATAAAAGAAGAAACAAACTTTTTACATTTTGTAGTAACTTGAAGGCTGCACGTCAAATTATCTCAAATTATCTCTGTGTAAAATTCATTGAAGTTAGATTTTGTTTTACAAATACTGTGGTTCATTTAAGATAAAAAATTAATTTATAATTCATTGAAATAATAAAATTAAATTTAAAAATATTTGCTTGGTCGAAAACCAAGAAGTATTCAATTTTAACGTAACATGGAACGTAATAACAATGGTGTTTGTTTAGGGATGGTCAAGTGTAAAAATATAAATACCTATTGAATCGATATTGTTATATATTAACCTACTTCGTATGACTCTTCTTAAGTTTCAATTAAAAAGAAAGTTGAGTTTCCATAGCAACTAATGATTATTATGATTTTGTCAATCAATTAAACAAACATTCTATTATGTAAATAAATCATTAGTAATCATTATTTAACAGATATATATCGCGATAAAGATAGTTACTGATATGTCGTATATAATTATTATTTTAGGTTAAGATATATGTATATATGGTCAAATGTAACCCCGAAGTTTTAAAAACAAAAAAGTCATAAATTTATTATTTGAAAATTATCCATCGTGTTATGTATTTTTGTTATATTTAGGCGTATTTATAAATTGATTTAAATTTTCTCATGAAAACAACCAGTAAAGTGGCATTTGTAACGCCACATTCAATAAACATGAATACGAAAACACTCGCCATAAAGATGTTGAAATTTATTGAAATGTGACGTCACACGATAGCCCGTCAAGCCGCATTCTAGTGTTAAGTCGATAGATTATACTGTAAATAAATTGTTCAAAAGTAAAATATATATACGATTTTACATATTAGTTATATACAATTTCCAAGATGTTTTATAATTTATTGTTATAGCTATCAAGTATTAATTTGTTTTAAAGTATGTAGACATTTCGCGATTTCGAAAATAATATTTACATAGTATAACCATTGACCTAAAAGAGCCGAACTATTCAGAGTATGTAAAACCAATAGGTAACATCGATTTTTGAAAAATCGACTGTTTCCAAACCTAGTTTGTATTTTGTTTGAACGGAAAGAACGTCGTCTTGACAACAACGAATTTTGTGTTTTCTAAATGAAAAATTTGATTGATTTTACTATGAATTTGATAAATTATGGATGATACTCAAAACAGTTCGTCACAAATTAATGAAACAAAGGTATGTACTTTAATCCTAAATGTCTTTTTATTCGGAGATCAAACTATAGAAAAGATATTTTTATCGTCGCAACGTTAAAAATAGTACAGAAATGCACCTGCACATCTTGTAAACTACTTATGAGTGATCCAATTATCCCCTTATTATTATTGATAGGATGTTTTATTCAATCGAGCAATATCACATTCTTAATATCATCATACCAGTTTCTATTAGATTTTTTGTATACTTATATTTATTTTTAGAAAGTTCTTCCGGATGTCGTACATTCCCAACGTATACCAGCAGGGACAATTGTAAATACCGAAACAGAATCTCCTGAAAACTATACTGTTGATAATGAACAAAGTGAAAATTCAGTTCACCATGCTGAGGCCAAAAGTGAAACAGAATCTATATCGGAAAATTTGCCATTCAAGGTGGAAGACTCAGCTTCAGAAACAGATAATGTTGTCAAATCTAACAAATCTGAACGATTCCTTGATATAGATACAGACCAAATGAACAAAACAGATTCTATAAACATTCCAGTAACCCATTCACTAACTAGTGAAAACCCCAGTTCGCATGATCCAAGCAAACAGAGTACATCATGGCCATTAGATGTGAATGTAGTTTCTGATATTCATCATATTAGTGAAGAAAGTCCAGTGAATTTAGCAATGTCATCAGATTATTCTAAAGAAGCAGGTTTTTATGAGAACGACTCTCTACCCGATGCCCCAAAAATAGATGACAGAGGCTCTCGGGAATCTCCGTTGAGTGATAAATATGTTGACTCTTTGAATAACTCTGTAGCCAAATCTTTGGAATCTGGCTGTGAAAATAAATCATCAGGACATCTTAGTGACTATGCTAAGGAAGACTTACCAGATGCAGGCAGCTCAGGATCTGAAGAAATAATAAAGCTTGACATAAGAGGTCAAGGTGCTCCCAAATTTTCTCTTCCATCTGCCAAAATCATTTTTGGTCCCCCCCCACAAGGAAGTACTATTCTAGATCCAAATATTGAAGCTATTCCAGTATTTCCAAATTTGCTTTCACCCTTCCTTGTTGGAGCTGGTGATAGTGTGAAGGTTCAAGAAGTTTTTGATTTTACAGAACAAGATTACAAAGAACCCTCACTCCATAAATCTCTTGATGTATCTTTGGAAAAATCTATTGAATTATCAGCGGAGAAAAGTTTGTCAAGTGAAAAAACTGAACAGCTGGATTTGTTGGTTGAAGAAATAGTGGTTGATGAAGTCATACAAAAAAATGAGGATAAAAATGATGAACCATCTCTGACTAACCCTCCAAAATCATTGGCTCCAGAGGAAACAATGTCTTTCAGCACAATGACTACAGATTATAAGACAATTTGTGAAGAATATCATGAAAAGGTACAAGCCATTGTTCACAGTCTGTGTTTTTGTCTTTGTATACTTTATATCATAATGCTTTGCATAATGACACTGCTTTTATTGCCACTTGCATGCTGTGTACTAACTGTTTATAATATGTACTTTATAATTTATGAGAGAGCAACAAGTATCTATTTAATTTGACTATGTGTGGTGTACACAATAAAATATTTTATTATTGTTTGTTTTTCTATTAATATAGTTTTCCAAATACTTTAGAATTTTATGGCAAATGTGGTGTCCCATGATGGCCATTTTTTCAGATACCTGACAACTACCAGACTATAAAGTCCTAGAGTTTTTATTGCCTTTTAAGTCTTCTATCATTATTTAAGTATTTTATAGTCTACATCTATGGTTTTCATTGTTTCTGAAAAAATCTATCATAAAGAATACAATATGAATAAATGATAAAAGAAAAAATCAACATAAAAGTATTCTTTTTTGTGTCTATGCAACACTGAATTATATTAACAGATTATTCAAAGTAACTATTTTTTTTGGATTGTGATATGATTTCTGTGAGTGGTGCTAGTTTAATTGTAATATTTATATAAATGTAAATTTTCATGAATCTTGTAATTAAGAGAACATTATACCTTCATTCAATTATCCTAACCAACACATTAAACATATGTTCATAAAATTTTGGATTGATATGTGCACTTAGTAATCTTATTTATACAATAGTGTCCAAAATTAGTTTTCCCTTTCTCACAACTTTGCTGTACAGACACAAATTTAAAGTGAAATTATATACTTTGAACCTGTTGCATTACATGAAGCTGCCTTGTGTATGTTCTTTATGTATTGAATGCTTTCTGTCCTTTCAGCTTGTGCACTTCGAAGATGCTATCACACAACGTGACGAACTAATTGAAGAACTGACACTCTCATTGCAGCGCTCGGTTCGTGAACGTGATGATCTTAAAGCTGAAAATGTACACCTCACTAATGAAGTTCATCAATTGCAACATGTTGTTGGCGAGCGATCTTCCTCAGAACATGATACTATCAAAGCTCAATTGTCTGACTTTGTGAAATATCAAAGTATGATCAAAGATGATAGTACAAAATTTTACTCAGCACTAATGAGTGGAGGATCCTCGTTACAAAGTTCAAACGGCGAAAAAGATATGGATCGTGAAGAAATCACAATCAACTATTCAAAGTCTGATTTAAAGTCTTCCAGTTCTTCTGATGAATTCCAAACAGGCTTTGAGAGTAAACTAACAACAGTTATTAGCAAATTTGAAGATTCTATAGCAGAAAATTTGAGAAATAAACTACGAGAAAGCATTATTCAAATGCTTTGTGATGAAATAAGCAAAATGCGTATAGATTCAGACACAGAAATCAAAGAGCTGGAATCCCAAATGCAGCAATACAAACAAAGTTATGCTACGGAGACTAGAAAATTAAGAGAGCTTTTGTCTTCTGTGAAAGCTGGTACTGCGGACATAGATATTCTCCGGCAAGAACTGTGTGTCAAACATGAAAAGGAAATGGAAAATTTAAGGACATATTTTGAAAAGAAATGCACTGACATGGAAAGGAGGTACATATATTAATTATATTGTTATAACGTTATATGTGTAATGATTAAATATATATATTTTTTTACGCTATCAAGGCCCAAAAGAAGGTGAGTAATAGTTTAGTATTATTTAAGAAGAATGGAATATATTCAAAGATTGTAAGATAGTTTTAATTTGCAGTTACATGACTATACATTTTTTAAATTTGAAATAAAAATTGATTATAAACAGAAACCCTAGGTGTCAATAATATGTAATTTTTCTATCTATAATTGTAATATATATGACATGGTGTAGCTTGCCAGTTTGTTTAACGTATCCTGTCGTGACGTGTAGCTGTGTGTACATGTGTGATGTAATTCAAGTAAATATTTCACATATTTATCTAATTGTAATCAAATAATTCTAATAGCTATTCTGAAGAAGTGTGGAAGGGTCGTTCGTGTAGATCGCCGTGTGGATCGGAGTGGTCTGTAGAGGCTGACGCGGCGGGCGATTACCCGCGCCGGCGCACCAGGAGCGCGGAACTACCTTCCTTTACTTTAGAGGTCAGTACTGGTTTGATGTAATGAACTAACTAACCCTAATATCGAAGAACTGGTAATATCGGGACCGGCACAAAAAGTTTACCTAAACGAATATTTAACCAACCAAAATAATGCCTTGTTTCGAGAATGGCGCAATAGAACTCGTACTCGAGGTTATTCATGTTAAACATTTAGTCACACACTCGTAAAATTATAGTATAAAATACTTTATTTATAGCAAACATGTGAGACTTGTTGTGTTAATATCTGTTAAACTGATTATCGTTCTTCTTAACCCTTTCTATTTAATAAGTTGGCGTGTTTTTGTATCTAACATATTGCGCAATATAAAATATCCCATATTAAAAAATATATACTGGGTGGAACAGAACGACCGACACTCCCGAGGTTCCTGGAGAGTACTATTTGTCTTTAATATAATGTAAAAAAAATTATAAGTCTAGGTCAAATAGTTTTAGTGATATTAAATTACAAAGTTTTTGAATAAAAATGAGTGTTTTCAACCCTGAGTCAGCTGTTTTTGGGACGTACTAAGGAAAAGTTTTTAATCGGTCATTGACTTCTTCATTTCTAAAAACAAAATAAACTAGTTTGTGATTTATAAGACTGCTTTCATGCAAATTCTAGCAGTCAATCAATAAACAAGGCAGTCAAAATGCTTAAATCGATTAACAGACTAACAGCCGGTTTATGATTTGAAAAAAGAAGAAAATTTCTACTGCTTATTCTCAATAACCTAAGTTTTTTTAATTTCACAAGTCAAATAGTCTTAGTTTTATCAAACTGCTATCAACTGATCATCAAAAAACCAAATCGGAAACGAAAACTAAGTGATCTTAGTTTGAGACGTTTAACTTTACATACTCAATTAAGCAACCGAGTGTAAAATTTCCTAAATTATTGTAGAGAGATCACTCTAACATTAATCTACGTTAATTTAAAAGAGCAGTTCTCCATAAAAATTGTTTGAATGGGGTGATACTCCTTTAACAACGGGATCGTTAACTAAACTCGATAAACTCACAAATCTTCCAGCGATTCATCATTAACACAAATGAACTTTCTTTTAAAAACATTGAGGAATTTGTTATTAAAATAGCATTTAAAAAGAACTTTAAAAAATGAGTGATATCAAAAGACGAATAAAAAAATATGAACCGAGTTCGTCCCTCAATATCAAAGCCCCGCCCACCCGTCAGCCGCCAGGCGGTTTCATTATTCTATTGGTATTGTCCGATCGATCAGTCGCCGCCGACCTTTTGCGCTGGAGTGTTGTTGTGCATCGCCGCCGACGCACCGCTGCGAAGCGGCTTTTTTTGTCGATTTTTGTTTTGTTCTAGTGCATTTTTAATTGAATTGTTGTTAATAAGATACTAGAGTGTTCGTCTTGAGTGTTAAGTTTAGTTTAGTGAAGATTGTGTTTAGTTTTGTGTGAAATGTGATGTGTTTTGCGCGTGCATACACTGGCATGCAAAAGAGCGTGCTTAGCTGTCTTCAGAGAAGAATTGAACATTTTCAGCATCGACTATCATTAAGATATCGGTAAATAATTAAATTAAATTAATGTATTTCGCGGTCCGTTGTAATCTGCGCACAATCGATATTGCGCATGCGCGTTAAAGGGCTGTCAACACTTAGAAATTTAAAATTTTTACTCCATTTTTACACCTCTTCTATTTTTAAATATTTGTCAAATAAAATGAACGTTTGCATGTAACCTAACTTGAAACTTTCGGCTGTGTCGGTCATTTTGTTCCTCCCGGTATTATCGAGAAATTCAAATTACAATATAAAATCATTTGTATACAGCAAATATGTAGTGTTTATATGTGTTAAACTGATTATAGTTCTAAACCATCCATTCAATCCAATAGATTGGCAAGTTGTATGTAATGTTTATACATCACATTACGCAATATTAAAAAAGACCTTAAAAAATATAAAGTACGATATTAACTAGAAATTCTAATTATATGTGGGTTTATTATATGTACTTCTTATTTATTTTTATTATTTTAACCGTTTTTACTATATGAAATATTCCTCGTTAATACAACAAATTAAATATATATTTTTTTCACACCTGTTTTTAACAAATATTAACTTTTATAACATTACGTTTATTGTAGTACTGGCTAGTTATAGTAGATTAATAATAACTATGTTTATTACTCGTTATTAATACCTCGTATTATAAAGGTTATAAATTCAGTGTCAGTTTAAATCTCTCAGTGATTAAATTAAAAAGTTCACTAGTTCCTTTTTCCTCATTAAACGATTTAGCAATGTTATTGATAGTTCGATACAAAATTTATCTATTTACTACCAGAACTGCCGTGGGCTAAGAACAAAGTTGAATACAATATATATGACTATATTGATGCACGGTTACGACGTTATTTTGTTAACAGAGACATGGCTGCATACATATTAGTGAATAATGAATTTATTCACTCTCGATACGATGAATGCCGAGATGGCGGTGGTGTGCTTGTGGTTGCTTTAAGCACGTATCGTACTATGCTTTGTATGTCGGCTCCCCCGAGTGCGACTTTAGATTTACCATCTATAATCGATCACTTTCTAATACAGGTTTTCACTAGTAAACTTAAAGAACCATACCTTATCGGTGCTACTTATTTCTCCCTTAAAGTTGATTGTAATACATATTGTATGTTCTTCGAGACTATGAGGGACTTATTCGGTGATTTTAACCCACAATATCTTGAATGGCACTTCGATGACTGCCAGAGTAAACCTTTAAAAGAGAACAATCAAAGTCCTACGCATTCTTCCTTCGATTTATAATTGTATTCAAATTATATTCAAGATATTTGGCTTTTTCCACTCCAGGCATATCTTACAGGCAACCTTACAATCAACGGCTACTTTTTTTTGAAATTACACCTTTGAAGAATCGGCGTTTGATAGCGGATCTGATGTTCTTATATAAAATTATTAATAACAAAGTAAAAAGCACCTCTCTTCTTAACGAAATCGGAATTGCGGTCCCTTACAAGTACCCCCGTTACCGAATTCGCAAATTATTCAGCATACAAGCTCATAGAACAAATTTGGGAATGCATTATCCTATAGCTAGGATATGCACGCAATACAACGAAATTTTGAAAGACGTACCCACTATTGACATTTTCAATGATTCCCCTGCTATTTTCAGGAAAAAACTAAACAATTACTTTCAGCCAGTCAGTTCACACTCTGTATAAAATATAATTTCTGTAATTCAGTTAAGTGTCATTGATTTTATTTTATTTTATCAATAATTGTATTGTTATGGTAAATGCTGTGTATACCTGTAATTGGCGAGCGCATTGAAGTTGAACCTTTTGTGAATTATTATGGATGTTGTGAATGTTGTATGTGTTTTGCTGTTGGTGTGCCTTGTTATAAATAAATAAATAAATAATATATTGAAAAAACATTAATAATCGAATGTTCGATTTATGCATTACGAATGTATATAATAGTAAATCCTTTGTCACACCGGACATCTTAGTCCCGGTCGATCCACAACACCCCCCATTTTATGTTTTATTACCAATTGATCGGGTAACCAAAAGTTTACCGGGTAAAGCACGAATGAGGTATTGTTTAGGAGGTGTAAATTTTGAGCGAGTTAACTAAAAGGTCTTAAAGATTAATTGGGACAACATATTCGAGTAAAAGGATGCAAAATTGTGTGTTGATATTTTCTATGAACATCATTCGAATTCTAAATGCCATCATTCGAAAGCATGTAACCTCTAATATTCCTTCTAATTCTAATTTTCCTATGTGGTTTTATTCTTCCTTAAAACATATTTAACAATAAAAAACAGCATGCACGAAATATAAAAAGTATAAAAACCAAGCAGACTACTTAGTATTTTGCATATACAGAAATAGATTTAAAAAAGAAGCGAAATATTGTTATAAGCAGTAGATATATGAATAAAATTGAAGATAGCATTAAAGAAAATATTAAGTTTTTTTTTTTACTTATATAAGGAGCTGTAAAAACCAGTCTGTTATCCCTAACAACGTGGAATATAGTAATATGAAAGCTGATATATACAAATTATTCTCTTTCAGTTCGTTTTTCAGCTGTCTGAGTTATCGAACTCGATAACCTCAGCAATATACATAACTTAAATATAAATACTTGTAGTGACATATTTTAATGTCCCATCAGCTTTCTTTAAAAATAGAACTTCTACATCTATACACATAATCTTTGTTAAATGTTTAATTTAGGGTGTTTTTCCAAAAATTTGGAAGTCTGCTAGAGTTGCCCCTGTGCATAAGAGAGGTTTAAAGTGACGTTACCAACTATCGGCGTATTTTTGAGAGACTTGTTCATAGTATCTTATATGATCATATACACAGGGTTATACTTCCACAGCAGCTTGGTTTTGTCTAGACGTTCAACAATTACTTACCTCATGATGTACACAATTAAATTATTCCATAATAATGGACACTGGCGGGCAGACTGATGCTGTTTTTACTGATTTAAAAAAAGCATTGGGTCGAATAGATCACGAGAGGAAACGAGGAAACCTTTGGAGATAGTTCAAATTCTATATAAGTAATAGGACTCAAAAACTGGTCATACATAGTTACAAATCTGAAACCGTTATAATTACATCGGGTATTCCTCAGAGCTCAATAATAAAATACCGCAAGATAGGAAATACCACTGACCATTACAAAGTTCAGGATGATCTTAATAGGTTGACGGTCTATTGCAGCAATAATAAACTTAGTTTTAATATAAATAAGTATAACTGCATTAGTTTCATTAATAAAAAACAATTAGTAAGCACAATTACTCATTATGCGGCACAAACTTTGATAGAGTACAGAACATTAGAGGTCTCGGTGTTACACTGGACTCTAAACTGATAATGGATTCATATTTAGAGAACATTTGCATGAAAGTATATAAAATGTATGGATTTGTTATACATGCTAGTAGTAACTAAAACGCTTTTCTACATTTCTACAACTAAATTTAGAACACTAAATTTCTAAAACGCTTATGCAGCAATAATAAACTTAGTTTTAATATAAATAAGTATAACTGCATTAGTTTCATTAATAAAAAACAATTAGTAAGCACAATTACTCATTATGCGGCACAAACTTTGATAGAGTACAGAACATTAGAGGTCTCGGTGTTACACTGGACTCTAAATTTCTAAAACGCTTTTCTACAATCCCTCGTACGTTCACAACTGGAGTACGTCACGTCTATTTGGGATCCATTATATAATGTATATTCTGATCGAATTGAAAGCGTGCAAAAATTTTTTTTACGTTGCCTACATTTTAAATATTACCATAGAAGATTGCCTTATCAAATGTTATTGAGGGAATATAAATTACTTCCTCTTGAATTTAGAAGACTTCAGCTGCAAGGTATGTTGCTGTATGACTTCTGTTATAATAAATATGATTGCATCGATATAATTAATAGCATAAGCTATAAAGTTCCCCTTAGACCACGTGTACGAATCTGTCGAGCTAGTACACTATTCTCAACACCTGATTCCCGAACAAACAACGGCAAATTTACACCTATATCACGGATGGCTTACATACATAATAATTATTTTAATGATACGGACATATTTGCATCCAGTGTTGGCTCGTTTAAAACATTAATCACAAACAAATTGAATCTACCCGTGTTGGTGTTGGTTACATAATTAATTATTTTTAAAACATAACTAATTTAGTTAATTAAGATTCATTGTGAAACTGTTTGTTAACCCAAATAAACTAAAAAAAAAAATATATAGGGAAGTTACTAGGGAAAGTCCGGGTCTTTTTTTTGTAAATAGCGTAATATTTTTGTAATGAAACTTAATCCAAAGAGTTTTTCCAAACGTGGAATAATTTGGCGCAGTTTTAGAATTAAACCTTGGAACTGTCTTTGCAGACTCGACTACAAAATTTGAATGTATGATGATATCGTATTCTGAATGATTCATTCGGATTTATTAGTCGTGTATTTCATCATCATCATCATCATCAGCCCTTTTACGCCCCCACTGCAGGGGCTCAGGCCTTCCTTATGGATGGTTAAGGAGGATGGGCCATGACCCTCCACGCTAGCCCAATGCGGATTGGAGGGTATTAACGACTGCAAATGCAGCCGGGACCAACGGCTTAACGTGCCTTCCGAAGCACGGAGTAGCTCGAGATAATAATTTTTTGGTCACCCATCCCGTGACCGACCCTTGTGAAAGTTGCTTTACGACTACGATCACGGGCCACGGCGCTAATCCACTACGCCACCGAGCTACTCATTCGTCGTTTATTTAACGTCATATAATTGTTATACGTAGACGACAACAGGAGAGCTGGGTACGAAACAGTCATGCCGCAAACACGAGCAACAGATGGAGGAGTTACGTACTGAACACACCGTGATGATAGCAGACCTGCATGCAAGACACAATGCAACTATCGCCTCATTACAGGAACAGGTGAGATTCAGGCTGATAGCAAATCAATCCGAGCCTTAGTAGGCAAACAAAACGAATAGTGAGGAAGTTCATTCATATTGTGGTTGTTGTTGTTGTTTATAAAGAATTCTATTTCTTTCTTTCGCTTCCTTTGGCGTGTTTCATTTATTCCAATCTGAGGAAAATCTGACAAAATCATCGTAGAACTGTTATAACATAAATATAAGGTATATTATTAATCAACTGTCCAAATATATGTATCAATATATATATTTTCTATTAATACAGATTACTCGACTGAAGTCACACATCCAGACTTCAGAAAATACAGATGCCAATGTTTCTGTCTACCAGCAGGATATTGATCTGGAGTTAGAAAAGGTCAGTGTTTTAAGAGTCTTATTATTATCTCCAAGCTAAATGTAACTGAACGCTTTCTGTAAATAAACGTAATGCAAAACTGATGGTGATATGGGAGTTATTCATCTTAAGCGTGTTTCTACCCTAATAATCTACCCTGTAGACTGTAGCCAATTGATTTTGTTATCAAGGTGGAACGTCATCATCGGTTTTATTATTTTTTAACATCTTAGAAAGTAGATGGGCCTATATTACTTTTGTATTTTGTTTTACAATGAAAATGTCCACCCCCATATACTCAGCGGTATGTTTTATGTCTATACACTTTGCGATGATAAGTGAGTACCTACTGGCAATGATCACAGCGCGCTACGTGACGAAAGAATGTTACGGCGTCAATGCTGTTTAAATTAATTTATTGAAAAGTTTTATATAATATAAATTATATGCGTTCAGAGTTTGCTAAATAAAAAATTTATATCTATATATCTATAATAAAACTACTAAATTAAACATAGTCGGACATTAATATACTTAGCTGAATCAGAACTATACAGCCAATAAATAACACAGTGAAATTGTTAATATCCGTCTTTGATAACACTTTGACTTAAGAAAATGATTTGACTTTTTGCACTAATTTTTAATTCAAACCAACAAAAGTAATGTATTCATTAGACTAAAATAAACCAAACTCATAGATGAAAATATGGGCAATATTATTTTATAAACACTGAATATAGTAAAATATGATCATTTTTTGATAGTGTTAATTTTTTTAACTTGACCTTCCACCTTAACAGTGATATTAATAAATAAGGTTTAGCGTCAAAGTAAATTTACGCTAAAATTGCAATTTTAGTACCTATTAGTCCAAATTCATATTACACAGAGAATAAGCAAACCTACCACATTTTAGGAGTAAATATTGGTCCTGTAGAACCTCGTTTTAGGTTAACCTTTGCCAAGTCTCTGTTTAATAATATGAATTTTGACTAATACTTAGTGCAGTCTCATCGTAAATTTACTTCAAAGCTAAACCTTATTAATAACACTGTAAGTGTTAATATATAAATAAATCTGTATAATAACCTGCATTCGAAGCTTTTTGTATTGCCAGTAATATAGAAGTTTAAAATGTATTTTTTTTCCAAAGTTACAATAAAAGGGAATTGGACAATTCAATTATGCAAAACTACGTATGAAACACGTAGTATTTTAAATCCAAAGTGGCTATTTTGTCTCAAGAAAAAAATACTAAATTTTAGTGGCAGCCTGTTTATCATTAATGTCCCACAGCCCTTCATAATTTTAAAAACTAATATGTGTGTTATTGAAATTTTAACTAATTTATATTGCATGCTGGGGAAGAGACTACAGTTCCTCTAGTGACGTAAGCTGTGGTGGTTGTGTATATTTTTATTTTATAGACAATTCAGTATAAAAATTTTCTATTATGTACCCAGATAGCAATTTAAACTTGTTTCTGACTTGCAACCAGTTTGATACATCAAAAAAGAAGAATTGCTGCATGACAACTGCAGCAACTTGAAATCAAACTCTAGTTTCAGTGTGACAAACTTGCACTACGTTTAAACGTATCAAATGTAGTGCAAGTATACCTAGGAAAATTACTATTACTACAACCGTAGTAATAGTAGTAATGATATTTTTCCTAGGTACTGACTCGAATACCTGGAATACAGGTTTCGAGGCAAATATTACTTCAAGTTTACTAAATTTTTATTAGTCATTTGATCATTCAAAACTTTTGGTCCAAATTCATTTTAATCTCAAACGACAGCACAAAGCCTGGCGTGGGAGCCGAAGTTGATTACCTGGAACGCTTGATTTCGAATCCCATATGAAAATCACATTAATCGGCATATTACTTATACAATCTAACAATATAAACTGATACCGCGATGCATTAAATAAACAGCACCAACTAATTTGCACACTTAGAACTATTCGGGCACCCATGAAGATGATGGGTGTGTTACAAAAAAGTATTTTTGTCATAACAATATTCAAACAATATTGTCACAAACTTGAAACTTCATATTTAACATAACAATATTGCAGCGACATTGTCACAAACTTGCTTCGTATATTTTACGCAGCAATTTAGAATCAAAGAAAAATCAAACTTGCTCCAAGTTAGCATGTTATCTGGGTAAATAGTAATATACAGATACGCAAAGGAAATGTTACTCTTCATTTAAAATGGCCGTATACGATTGTCTTAATTTCTTGACGCCTCCCCTCCCCCTTGGTGATGAGGTTTAAGACTACCCCCCCCTCACCCAAATTTAGTATGTATTTTTAGTACTTACAAAAAACCTAAATTTTTCATAATATCTTAAACGCGCGATTACTAAACCGTTTTTCGATTTAGTAAACGCGCGTTTGAGAAAAAAATAATTACACGTGATATATTACTACAGCCCCTCCCCTTGTGATATTTCGTGATTTTTGACGAATCCCTCCCCCCTTTCGAGCTTCACGTGATTAATAGATGGCCCCTTAAGAGTAGTTATTAAATTTTCTGATAACATATTATACGTATAAGCTGTCCTTGTCATATCGAAAGACGTCACAAGGAAGCTGAAGAAGAACAAATTTTTTTGTAAATTGTAAATTTAACATTGTACATTTTCTATCCTCTGGGTTCCATTGGCAAACTTGTATTAACTAATTCTAGCACAGGTCACACTGAATATATCAAAGCCTGTTGCCCTGTCTAATACTGTCGTTTCTCTCCTGCATGCGGGAATGCACTAACCGTGTGAATTAACCGCCGGCCATAGGACGCGCTCTACCAGAAGAGACTGGAAGAGGTACGCCAGGAGGTGATCCAACAGCTACAAGAACAGATACAGGTATGGAAACTTGTACAATCATAATATGTAGCATTCCTAACTTTTGATTGTAAGTATTATGCAGTGTTTGCAATAAGACAGTGTGTATTTCTGGTGCACGAACTACACCAAAACTCACCTACGAATATCTACATTATACATGGGTGACATATGCTATAATTTAAGCAGTCGACATTGCGGGAAAACACCTAGTATAGGTATTATTACAGAGCAGAATTAAAAGCCAGTTTTCTTTAATATGTTACGAATTGGATAGAAATTCTCTATTAATGAAGCGTTTAACTAAATATAGCAGCGTCTAAACTACCAAATAAAATTCATGAATCATTAACGTTATGCTCGTATAAAGTACATATTTCACGTAACTCGTATGAAAAGTGTAAGCTATTTTTTTATTCTACGTTTCTGGTAATTATTATGCATTTTCGGATACGATGTCACAAATGGCGCAACTGGTATTAAAACACTCGCTAGTTTATAAAATGCTGAAACAAACACAATGGCTAGTTCTATTTCCTGCCACATGCAGCGCTGTTAATCAATCAAAACAATTAACGATTGCGTCGCGTAATATTCAAAAATCTTTCTCTTTTGCACATCAGAGATGCTTTTTCATAGCCAACATATTTATCTTTAAACAATCGGCGCCTACACCATTATTATTTGCATTCTCCAGCTTACCAGGATTTCAGTAACTATCCTAAGTTTCGTTTATCAATGAGTCAATGACGAAATAGAATTTTTAGATATCAATAAAATCTAAAGTATAAGAACTGTGCAATTGAAACTTTATATGTAGGTATTTGTATAATATGTACATTATTGAATTAAATTTCGAGAGCTCTTTTGTCTGGGAGTATGTAACAGTAATAAGGGTTCAAAGAAAAAGACGAAACGCTTCGAGAAAAGATAGGGCACTAACGCCGTCTGAGCGGGCCACGACTTTCCCCTAGAATAGTGTGCGTAAAATTTAAGAACAAATTTTTTATTTGCGTAAACCATACGTCATTCATGAAGTGATATATTTGGCATATTATTATTTTTTTTATATTTTGTGGTAAAAAAGAGGAAATTGCAGCAGTACATAAAACTTTACGGCGCCCACACTAAATCCCTAGACCATTGGCCTGAAGCCAGCAGTGAAGTACTCTATTATAGACCAGTTTTAAGTCTCAATGGTCGAATAAATAGAACAAGGTCCGTGTAGTCACTACCGCGATGTGAAGGGGAAAGCTCTGTTCATCTCTCCCCTTGTTCGCGACAAGTGTCAGGAGTTATTTGTTGATGAAACTTCAGTTGTGTTTACATTTTTTGCTAATGTGACGTTGTGATAGTGAATATTGTATTTGTGTGAAATATTGACAATGATAAGGAATGCCGGATCGTAATCATTTACCATTTTATAAAAGACGGGTGAGTTTCTTATTACGATTATTTGTCAACATGAAAAAAATAACAATAACAGTAATAAAATATATCATATCGTTTCGTTTACTAGCATAGTATATTAATAATGTATATATATGTATATATACACACTAGTTAACAGTAGCTTTTTCCGCGTTGTCCAAGGGAATAGGATGTTGTTTCATGATAAAAAGTAACTCTCGTCACTCTTCAGCCATTCTTTCACTTTACTGACTCGATTGAGAGCTAATCGAACAAACAAATACACCGAAGAATATCAGTTTATTAATACAATTAACAATACACAAACTTAGAAAAAAATCTTTGAATATTTACATAATTATATTTCTTTTCCTTTTCGGTTGATTATGGCTTATGAAATTTCATTAGTTTTCTTTTCTTATCATCCAATAAGGACCATCTATTAATAATACATATTTTGTATCCTAGTGACCGTTAGTGTTTATGGTCTTCCTTCCCTTTACTGATACACATTATGGAATATTATTGAACACCACTTCCAGGCTACTGGTCGACATAAAATTACCGCAATATCCTTCTGGTATTTAGACACTTAGTGGTACGGAATGTAATATAATAATTATTCGATATCATTAACAATATTATAAACGGCTTGCGTAACTCAAAGATTAGTTAAATCTCCTTTTGGTACGTAATTTTGTTTAATCAAAAGATCTGTTCAATTCCTATTGTATTTAGTTTCTCGCCCGAACTGTATGCAGGCAATCTTGGCGCTATTTTTTAGAGTTCCGTTTTCCCGGTTCCTGTCAAGACCCTTTATCACGGGAATGCGTGAATATATCGAGTTGAAATTTAATCCATAGTTATACTCAGTTTTATTGTCCCTTGAAGTTGTGGAAAAATGAAACTTCTTAATATGAAAAAGATACGGTCATTTATGCCATAAAAATGCATATCGACACTCTCAAGGGAATTCAAATTCAAATCAAATCAAAATTATTTACTCAGTCTAGGCTGTTACAAGCACTTGTGAAAGTCGAGAGCTACGCCATCGGTTCGTAAATCTACGGCGGGAGACCTTGTACCGAGAAGAACCGGCAAGAAACTCTGAGAACCGGCAAGAAACTCTGAAAATATTTCACACAAATACAATACTCGAAATTGATACGATACTTCCCGTTGATGTAGAACCATGAAATTTGGCAAGTAGCAACTTATCATTTTGTGGTATGAATTTCAAGGAAAAATCTGAAAACTATATATTATTTGTAATTACATCGTAAATTGTCTTATAGTGGTCGAACTTTGAAATTGAAGCTACTAGTTCATGTGATTTATCATATGAAAGAGCTTTAAATATGCACATCATGCATATTTAAAAGCATTTTTTATGAATTTTTCACGATTTATAATTTTTTTATATAAAACACAATAATCTAAGTAAGAACTTCTCGCCCGCGGCTTCTATCATGTAAAATAGTTTACATGTACAAGTTTCTTTTTTAAATTAAATCCTTCGCGCCCCAATTGCTCGGTCATCGCCATTTTAAAATATTGTTAAGCGTACACTGGCTAGACGCCAAATGACAGGACATTTTTCGCTCTGCATTCTGACCCAATTCTCTAAACACCACGCTGTCTCGTCTTTTGTTTTTTTTTCATTCAATTAAAATGGTTTACCTGCCAATTGTTCTTTAACATATAATTTATAAAATGTGTGTTGTTCATGGATTGAATAATTTATTCTTATCACATAAACAAAATGCATTTTTTCCTTATTTTATTAACATTTGCTTATTTCATAAATGGTTATTTTGGTATATGATGACCTAATTTTAACTCGCTTTTTGGACAAATAGCTATTTTGGGATGAACTGATGTTATTTATTTTTCACAACATCGTGTTGAGCTAGTTTTTAAAACGCTGTATATATTTGCAGACCGTGTTTTGGTTGCGGGAAGGGGTTGCATTATGAAGATATTTAATATTCGAATATTATTAAGATTGCACTCGCCGTCGATACCAATTACAACTAACATATCAAGTTTAATATTAAAACACGTTTTATACTTAGCACGTAGTTTATTCTTTATTAATTTCGATAATTGTTAATATATTTTATATTTAACAAGTATTTTAAAATTAATGATGTATAACAATAATTTTGAAAACAAAAATAAATAACACAAATTCTACAAATTTTAATCTTATTAAGCACCGTTAATTTTTTGTGATACAAATAAAATGATTTAAAAGTAATTCGTCTAATTAGTTTGTTTTTCTTTTGCCGGCAAATTACCTGAATGATCGTTATCATTTCCTAATGAGACAATTCTTAAGTTGAGTAAACAATAATTACTTAATAATATTTATTTTTAAATTATCTATTCCCTTTATTTGCTGGAAACTTGAGCATTATCGAACTGACTACTGATAAGAATTGTTGGGGTCAGATTGTCCGTGGTCCTCAGTATTTCATTTTGTTCGATGGCAAGTGGTATTCTGAGAGTGCTTGTGATTTCATACGATATTTTATTGTCGGACAGTGAACTTATTGTGTTTTGTTAAGCGTTCAATATGGGGGATATTTTAGTAAGTAATGTGCAAAACCATAAGATTTGAAAAAGCAAAGACAATAATTTTGGTGTATTCTTATTGAATCCGCCTTTTAAGTTTAACTAATCTGAATAACTTTTAACTAAGCACTTTGTGGAATAACTTTGTTACTAATACAGTTATATCTGATTATATGGTTGGTAGTTTTTTTTTTAATTGTGTCAACAGTTTCACAATAGCGTTACAATTGACAAATGATATATACAGTTTTATAATTGCAAAACCCAGCATCGTTAACCACAATTTACTTTGAGTATGTGAAAGGTGCTTATGCTATCAGTTTAAACACTTGTAAAAAATACTATACAAACAGTAGAGTAAGAGATGCGTTACATCTATATATCATTAATAATTATATAATTATTAACCACTAAAAAGTTTGTATTCAACTCATGAACATCTGTTACGTAGTTAGCCTGTCTCTCGAAAATGTTTTGTAGGAATGTAGGAAAACAGACGGCGAATTCTTAGTAGCAAGGTTCCCGTTATACCCTTAGGGTACGGAACCCTTAAAAGATAATTGTTCAGAGTGTCCATATCACTTAATAGGTATTAAATTTGTTATATGTCCATTGTTATATCTTCGTATGATAGATAAACTATACTTTGGATTGAGAGGATTTATAACTATTATTAATAGGAGCAGAAGTTCTTCAGTCTACGGATATGATTAATTTATCATCCATTATAAGTTCAACATCAAATGTTACCGTACCCATCGAATGGGGCCGGTCAAGGGCGAGTGTTTGTGGTTACCTCATTTACTATGTCACAGAAATGTATTGATGTTATGAAAATATTTATATTAATACAATATGTAGGTGCTGCTATCAGATCCCGATGCAGAGGTGTCCTCGTGGCCGCTGGAGTTGGTGGCACTGCGGGACAAGATCCATGGCGAAGCCCGTCTGACCCAGGAGAAGGAGGTCAGTACAAGTAGTCACTATTTTAAGGATAATTATAGGGTAAACATAATTACAACCATTGATGTAATACTTTTTAAAGAGCATTTCTTGTATATGACATCTGAATTTCGGATATGGCTCCAACTATTTTCATTAGATTTGGTATGCAGGGGATTCAGGGTGATGAATCGAACGAGCTAGCTTTTAGTTACAAAAAGATGAAATTCCGAGCACAGCTCGATCATCCAGGTACTATATTAATACGTGACGCTTAGACTTTATATGAAAAGAGAGTACCGACAGAAAGCTAATACTTTATGTGTAACAACGATTGAAAACTCACTACACTACATTGATAAAAATATATGTATCTTTACTTTTTTATCTTTTAATTTTGTTTGCTCAGTCTTGCTGAATGTCAACAATAATCATTATTATGACAATGTAGATTTATTTATCCTACAATTTCTCTAATGAAACTAATAAATTATACATAATGGTGTACTATTCGTTTGGCATATCTAAACAGTGTGGTCTGTAAACATTATAAAATACATATGTACTTCCATTTTACATCTACAACTATTACAAATATTGATTACAAACACCAAAGTTGATCGGTCTAGCTCAGTGTTTCTCAAAATTTTGGTTCCACAAACCACTGTAAAGGATTCCAGAAGACAACGAACCCCTTAACTAACTTAAATATTAATGTGATGGGTGGACTGGTTTTTGTCGCAAATTGAGTCATTTTAGAAGTAGATCTAGACGATTTGAACCTTCATCGTTGAGTCATCGAGCAACCGTTACATAAATCTTGTCCCGCAGCCTCTATATCGTCGAGTGGCGAACCCCTAGGGGTTCGCGTACCCCACTCTGAGAAGCCATGGTCAGCTGAATACAAACCAGCAACCTAGGGATAAATGAAAGGAATTACGAATCAATTTTATAAATAGTAGTAGTTTGGTTATTAATTAGTGCATATTTTCATCCTATGGCTTTTACGTTCCCATAGCAGGGGCTCAGACCTTCCTTATGGTTAAGTATGGGCCATGACCCTCTACTCTGGCTCCACGCATGCGGATTGGAGGGAATTAACGACTGCAAATGCCGCCAGGACCAACGGCATAACGTACTTTCCGAAGCACTGAGTAGCTAGAGATAATAATTTTTTGGTCACCCATCCCGACCCTTGCAAAAGTTGTTTAACAACAACGATCGCTTATCCATTACGCCACCAATCTTCTTCGGCTTGGTACCGTGGATATATTTTAGGAATATTTTATTTTATTAAAACATACAATTCGAAATTTACGTATATATTATATATAGTAAGTCTTGAAGAATTCTATTGTATTTTTAATTATAGCGAATTAGTACGAGACGTTCATACCGAGACAGCTTAGTCAATCTATGGTGTTTGCTATAAATACGACCAACCCTCGAGTACAATATGCATGAGTGGCGCCTACAAACGCACTCGTAAAAACTGCAAGTTGTTGTATTTTCGTTTTTATTTGTCATGTCGTACCGCCATTCTTAGGATCATTTACTAAAACAGAGTAAAGATAATGTTGTTAGAATATCTATTTTCTCTTTCGCAATATCTGCACGTAAAAGTCATATATATCTTTTTATCTCATTACGTTGTACTAGTGTTTGCCTTCTTACCTAAATAAATTTTCTTTTATAATAATTATAAAAGTATTATGATGATGATGAAATAATAATTATAAAAGTACCAATCAAGGCAACGCAATTTTTTGCTTTTTTAGAGTGCGAAATGCTTTCTTCCTCGGAAGAGTTTTTGTTAAAAGTACCTATAGCTTTCGGATAGAACCTATTTATGATAAACTTGAAATACGATGTGATGCCCACGATTGCAACGCATATATTGAGGAGAGAAAGAGCGTGGACGTCGACGTGCGGCGGTCCACGCGCAGGTGACTGAACCGTTATTCTAATTATACCAAGTAACATTTGTTTACTACGTGTACAATGCATCTTCTTTGCCCAAATGTCACATGTAGACTTCTGATATTACACCTATAGTGCACTAGATCTTACAGCCATGTTAAATGATTGGAAATGTAAAAAATATTATAGCCACTATCCTTTGAAATAGTTTTGACTATTTTAATTGTTATGATTAATTCTTATTTAGTGGAAAGCAAAAATATTTAAGAATGACAGTAGTCGTCTTAAGTAGTATTTTTGGATAATGCATTATAACGTTTCTTGAAATAATGTTTATTAAGCGCCCGGTTACTGATTAAAAGTTGGACTTCCGAATAGCTAATAGCCTACCAATCAATCCGGTGAATGTAACGTTCGGGATCCACTTGAAACGCAAATACCAATTATTAGGTCGTGCTCACGTAATATATAAAAACGCAATCGATTAGTTTCAATTTCAACATTATTATTTTAAGTAGTTTTATTAGTGCAACTGTTACAGTACATTAGTAACATTAAGGGAAGGCGTATGAGGATTATCAAGATTTATAAATATATTTTAGCTAATGGTTGCAGGTCTCTCTCAAAACATTGTGAAATATGTACGCTCTCTTTTTAGGTTAATGGAAAACGCTAGTGTTTCGATAAATTGAAATATGTTTTTAATAAAAATTGCTAACTTTATATATACCTTGCTGTTCTTCTTACTGTGGCTTCTTGAGCTAGAAATAAATTGTTTTCAATAAGTTTGCAAGATGACAAAAATGCTCTCAATTAAACATGGTTATACTCGTATCGTTCTCACATATTTCATAGCATCAGTTATATAGCATTAGCAACTTCATTTTATATTATATGTATACGGTGATTACCACGTATCGATTTGACATACATGTCGTCTCTTTTGTTTACACTCTGACGATGAAGCTGGAAAGCGTTCATTCACCGGTTTGGTCCGTTCTTTCTTTAATAAAAACGTAACTCTTCCGCATTCTTCGTAATTTGTGTATACATTTTAATTTTTAATTCTTCTATAAGTAAACATATGCAGCGTAATTGTTTCTTTTAAGGCCGTAACATGGCAGATCAAAAGATTTAGTTTCATAATATTTTTAACTGGTAACAAAATAAACAATAAAAGTCTTTGGCCGTCACTCAATATCAAAATTAAGATTTATACGCAGACAATTTCATAATTTACCAAAAAATTTACCCTGTTGACTAAAATCTCTTTGGGGCTCCCGGTATGTTAAGGGCATTTTTGACAAAGACATAATTGAGTACAGAATTAAAAAAAAATCGTTATTGAAAATATTAAGGATTTTAATTTATATTTGAAGGCTGCGTGCACACATTTGTTTTTGGAATGAGCACTTGAAGTTTTGTATAATAAATAACACGACCTGACTACGTTTTAATAGCCTTTAATATTGGTTAGGTTTGTTTATATACTGAGGAGAGGTGAGTGTGTGTGTTATATATAGTACACATAGGTGCACATTTATATTTTGTAAATATATCCTCATTTTTATATAGTCACTCACTTGATATTAGTTTCGCCTAGTATATTTTTAGTATTTAATTTTCATAGTATTAATTATTATTTAGTATTTCACGCTGACACTTTTAATTTTAGTCGCTAGTTTAGATAAAACTATATGCTACTATTAGAAGTTCATTATTTAGTTATTCATAATTTTCGGTAGTTTATTAAATTTTTCGCAAACATAATTTAAAATAATCTCATACACATATTTTATTTAGTCAGTCATAGTTATATTTTTTCGCCCAAAATATTTTCCCATTTTTGAATAACGAGTCAGATCATCTACAACAAGAATTTATCTGCCGAAGTTGCACAATTATCCTGTTATATAGTAAAAAAAAAAAACTGTCGTGTTCATAATATTAGTGTGGAGCAGCTGCACCGCGTTATGTTTAGTTCCGTGTTATATTTTTAAAGTGCTGTGTTTTGTTTACAAGGGCAAGGGCCCCTGCCAATAACATTAATTCCCCTTGATTATATTTCTGTTTTATCGGGTTATTACCATTAAACGAATTCGTTGGGAAAATCGGGAAATAATATTTTAAGCATTACTTTCACTTTTTTTTATTCCAATTCTCTCAGAAATTGCATTAAATAAACAGTGTAAAATATAAGTTTAAAGTTTTATTGAACGACGTGGTTAAGATATGATAAGTGGATTAGTTTTTCTGTGCCGTTTGGAATGACTAATGGGAACGAACCATTTTTCTGCTCACTAGGGAATGGGTTCTGTAATAAGCAGAATATATCCTCTGATTGCACGTAATGATGCATAGTGACTAGGAATCAACACTGTGTTCTGTTTGCATGTGAAATGCGATACGGAATTGAAGCTCATCTATTCGACCTGATAGGGTCATAGTTTTAACTATTAATAAGGGTTTCATACGTGTTGCGCATCCAAGAAGACTATTTGACGAACTTAAAAAAGTTATAACTTACATTCAATCAAAAAAAAAAACAAATTGGTCATATTATAATGCATCTTTTTCCAAAGTACCGTTTAATACACAAATAAAAAGAAAACTTGAAATAAACATTGAGTTTATGAACTATTTACACTTTGGTGCTTTTTAAATTAGTCCTAAGTTATCGATGACCTATTTATTTGTTCGACAATTTGTGATTTATTGATGTCCATACCATTGGAAGATGTCGTGATTTCGTTGGCAGGATGTTGGAGATATATTTAGACGCCCCACGATTTTATGGCAACGAATCACCGCCACAGATACAGGATAAAGAATGCTTGAGGTTCGCGACCAAAAGACATAAGGTTGCCACTTGTCTAATACATAGCTACTTAAATATATTACAACCGTTGTAGATCATATCGGATCAAAGTCGTATCAATATATATAGGTAAAAGTTTATTTTAGCTGGCGGCGGAATAGATAATATTGCGCCAAAACATGTTAATCGATCGACCAAATCGATTAAATAGTACATAATTCTTGTTGTTTTGGTAAAAACAGCAAGAGAAATGTAAACATGCATTTTATTTTAATCAATTCGAGCG